CTGTCTTTGGAACAACAAGGCTGTGAAAAACACACTCTTATCCTATATTAATTACTGAAAGCCACTACAACTTCATGCTCTTTCCTCATGAATAAGCAAAGACTGTATGGTACTTCTGTAAGCCTGCTGTGTGCAGATCTCTACACCAGCCTAACTTTGATGTGTGCTTGAAAGATCTGAGCATTCATCTCAGAGTTTTGTACTTTCAACAAAGGTTGCTGTCCCAAATCAACATAGCACAACTGCAGTTATATTGAGTGTCTCTTTCACCACTGAAGAAAAGTGCACCAAGAAGGACAATATTAAGGAGATCTGAAGGTACACGAAGCAATACTTTTTTGACTTTTAAACTCCAGCTGATCATGTTAAATCTAAATCATACCTATTCTGCTAAATAAATTTCATTTATTATTCAATCTACTGTGCACACCGTTTTTAATTTGTTAGAATTATGAAAATAATGCGTACTGCCTCATGAAATTACATTTCCCAAGCAACTCAAACACCATCCTGAATTCACCCAAACATCGTTCAAAGCACCTCAGATCGTGCCTAGCTGCTGTTCATAATGAAACACTCTACGCTGAGTGTTTATGGTGCCTGTAAGGCTTCATGCAGTGTGATAATTAGTCTGTATGCAAGCACAGTTGTAGGTGTCTCTTTCTATCGTTCAATCATGTCAAGGCACAGTTAACAGTTAACAATTCGCTGAGGTCTTTCAGTAAAAGATGAGACAAAAAAACAGCAACCACAACTACAAATCGAGTGTACTGTTCTCAACATGTCAGGTTTGTTTATATCTGCACTTATAAATACAAATAAATTACTTGCATAGTTACTAGCCAAAAAGCTAGTTTATTAAACAAATAATAAATTCAAACAATGAATATCATACATTGAATCATAGCCTATAGTGAGTTCAACATTTGCATGTTCAGATGCATTTTTCCTGTGTTGTAGCACAAACATATCAAAAAACTATTAAATCACTGACAGAAGAAGCATGAAATAGTACAAAATAGTCAAATATTAGCCTTAAAGACTACACTGATTCCTACCTGTTGTTAATCACTACTAATGTATGCTCCTGGGCAAAAAAATGGGCAATGCCAAAAATGGCAAAACATTAAGCTTTTAATGGTCTTAACAACATCATTAAACATACAGAACTTAGTATGACATATTTTTCTCTTTGATTTAAATGTTGAAGTCTTGTCAGTTAACTTGCAAACAAGAACAGATATTTTTCCACTCAACACTGACTGTTGAAACAGCTGAAAAACACTGCCAAGAAAGTTTGTGTTTAATATCAGACCAAATATTCTCTAAAGGGTTTAAATGTGGATTCTGACCAGCCCAAAACTATCAGTAAAAGCCATTCTATTTTTGGTTTTTGCCCATTTTTTCTGCCCAGGAGTGTAATGTGCAATTTTGAACAGGCATGTGATGTGTGTTTGAAAAATCTTCTCTCCTTCCTATCAAGAAGGCACTGTGCGCAGTAAAGAAAGAACAGTTCAGAAGGTCACAGTAGCAGAGTTAATGAACAGTCACCACAGATACTCCACAGCTATTTAATCAAAGCTTAACAAGCATTCGCCTCACAAGCCCCAAGTAATCTACCACTGGATACTCAGCCTATGTAACCAAGTTAATAATAAACTTGGCAGATATTAAACTGTGAGACTGCGAGAACACAGTAAGGAAAGAGGTGGCAGCCACCCAGGAAGAGCGGCTGTGGAGGAGCCCCAGCGGCAGTAAGTTGATGGATGGGCTGCCGTTAGCTGGATGGGTCATTTGCATTGGGGCTGTCTCAATGGGCCACTTCACCAGGGAGCAGCTCCCAAAGCAGGACTAATTTTCACCAGTGAGTGAGACAAATCCACCACAATGCATGTCCCTGGCCCTCTGGTGACTACAGAAGTAGGCTAAGGCTGACTCGGTTATCAGAGTTCACATTTTTTTTCCCTCAGTGTGTCTGTGAAGTTTTCTTAATTTAAGTTAAAAATATTTGTCAAGAAACTGAAATATGCAAAAATTGTATTCTCGATACTATTCCTCCTGAGTGGTGCAAGGGTGGGTGAGGAAAAGTACTAGATAGCATGGATAAAATGTACATTTCCCAAACAAAATCACAGCGTTTGATGATATCTACGTTTACAATGACCCATTAATTTAGATTTCTTTTGGTAAATCTGTCTAAGTCTGAAGAACTTTCAAATCAGTCATACCATTTGGCTAAAAATTGATTTTATCACTTTATTTATTACATTAAATCTTTTGGTGACATGAGGCTGATAATTATAAACAATACAATAGAAAATGCAACTCTAAATTGGGAACAAAAATATGAAAATGAAAAGTATTCAAATATATTCAAATATATACTGTTAGATGTTTATCCAGGGTAACATTACACAAACTTTAATCTTTTAGACCAATCAGAACACATTCTGCAGCTTTTGTCCACAACATACTAAATTTAATAGTTGGACATGAATGGGTTAATAAAGTTCCCAGACAGTATAACAGGCCAGCTATAGTGAACAATAACATATGCAAGGAGAGGACAGATGAGACTTAAGCTAAAAACAAAACACCATAAAGGTTTAGTAAGTCAGCACCAGAACTGTAGACCAGACACTGGCCCAGATGCTGGAATAAAGCACACACAGGATGAGGATCAAACAAAGCCCAGTCTCCAATTAATACAGGTGAAGAGGAGAATTCAAAATCACCACAATTACTGCATTACAATCAGCAGCAGCTCAAATTAGCCTCAGAGCAAACCACAGCTGCTCAGCTACACACCAGATTTCACAGAATGATATGAGTAAAACCTGAAAAGTGAGTGAATAGAGCAGTCACAGACGAGAGCAAATTTAGTTTAAGTGAAAAGCAAATTTACTCCAGCTCAAGATGAGTTATAGCACTTAACATGGCAAGGTAATTCCTTTTCATATTCTGTGAAGTGTAGTTTCGAGATGTGAATGCTACTAGAGTTCAAAATTCTGTTTGCATAAATCATCTCCAATTAGCTTCACATAAATCAAATATGCAATTTTGAGATTGATATCAGGAATACAAAATATTTACTTAACACTGACATTTATACGTACTAAATCCTATAATCAAATGCAATAAAAAGTCAGACTGGGAGAATTGCCATTCACTTCTAGCAGAGAACATTTCCAAACAGAGAGGGCAGATAGGCTAAAAAAGGTTATAAAACTCAGATCATGTCTCTGTGCATTACACTGGAAGAAATATTAGCATTAACAAACACTGCAGAGGGAATTTCTTCTACAACTCGTCCAGCCTCTTTATCCAAGACTGTAATTCAGGTGTAAAAGAGACTGGCAGTGCTACTCTGCTAGATTGTTTTCATGGGCACAGCAATATTTAAACTGGAAGCAGATAGGCCTGGTTTGCGGAGAATTGGTCTGACTAAATACACAGCTCAATTTAACACAACTGCTTGAAATGAATGTTAATTTTTTTCCTTTCGGAGAAAAAAAAAAATAAAAAAAAATCACCAACTTGTACTACAGCTGCAAAGCTGACCTCCAAACAGACATTAAAAGAACGGCTGCCAGAGTATTTGAAAATTTGCCTACATGAGCAAACCATTCATTTGATTTATTATCAATTATGAGACTAAAGGGAACAGAAGAGTGTGTGTGTGTGTGTGTGTGTACAGATGAGAGAGAAAGGGGAAAAAAATAGAGGAAAAAAAAACGAGCAAGAGAGATGCACAGAGAGAGAGAGAGAGAGAGAGATTATTAACATCTAAGTTTGACAAAGGAGTAGAGATGGGAGTGGCGCAGCTCCTCTGAGATGGTGATGCGTGTGATGTGTTCTACAGCTTTTCACAGAGATGAAAGGCCATTTGGGCTGGGCCCCCCACTGACCATCCCTCTGCCCATTCACTGTGAGGTGTACACTCCTCACACTCCACCACCATCACATCACACAGTCATAACAAAGTCTGCCATTTGTTTCAAAAGCACACTTTGGAAATGAGCACAGTGTCTCCAGCAAGAGCCGCCGCTCTTCGCGTTTAGGACACATTTTGTTCAAAACAAAATCGAGCAGAGCCTTTTTGGTTTTGATGCTGTCAATTAATCATGCGACATTTTAACAGCATTAATCACAAAGCCTCAATTCGAGCGTACTGCTCTGTGAAGCCAAACCTATGTCCCTAGTTCAGTGCTGCACAGCCATATAGGCTAGACTATATTATTTTACTACTTTTCTACCAGTACAGATTTCCATTCACTTCCAACCTTTATTTTACTCTAAGCATATGTTCAAGGCCGGATCCAGAAATAAGAATTTAACTGTATTGTATACAGTTGTGTGTATTTTATGCATGTGGTACGTTGCAAAATTAAACCCTTTAAATATCGTGTGCAATTATACGGTCTACTTGCAAAGACCTCACAAGTATGTTTAAGCTGACTCTGAATAATATGTTGTAAAAAACTCGCACATTTGAGGATCTGACTGTCAATGTATTGAAACTGTCTGGTGTGGAAAAAAAATGTCATAAAAATTTCCATCTTTTCAGGACATATGATTCGGATTGTTATGTACTCTGTGGTTATTAGGTTATTATATGCATTAAACTTCAAAGCAAACATCCTTCACATGACTACAACCAGTATACTGTTAAACCCAGTGTACCGTGGTGTACTTCGGGAGTACAAATACAAGAAGCAGAAACGTTTAACTGGAAAATATATAAACACATATAGCTACATACACACTTGACACTTTTACACTGCAGCCTCACGGCGGCTGCAACCAACACTACAGTGTAAGTTAGCTAAATTAGCTGTTAAAACCTTTAACGTTACAATCTGCAGCGTGTTTTAACGCCACCACTTCTCCACTCAGACAAAAATACAGGCTACTGACAAAGGTCCTCGTCATATGCCTGGAGCATCAAAATATAAAGAAAGAAAAAAGAAAGTAACGTGAGGAGCACTTTGTGAACTTACCTGCATGGTGAATACTCCCAGCTCCTGAGCGGACAGCTTCTTCATCTGCACGGCCAAAACTTGCGCTTCCTCCAGGATCGAAAACTCACTTTCGCCGCCGCAAAGTCCGCCGCAGAGGAGCGCCAGGAAGGCTAAGAGACAGCGGCTGAAAACCTTAACCCGGCTCGGAGAAAGTTGAGCAGGACTTTCCCACGAAGAGGCGCAAAGCCGAGTAGAAATCACGGATCCAGAGCCAGCCCGCCAGCGGCTCGCCATGATGGCTCGGTGTGCAGAACAGTGTTGACGCCGAGCAGCTCTGAGGAGGGAAAACTTCAGTGCTTAGCCTAAGTTTAACTTCTCAACTCTGTCGGCGAAGGGAGCTCCGCTGTCCTAACTCCGCGGGCATAACCGAGAGGCGGTAAGACATAGTTTCATAGGTAAATTTTATCAGGTAAAATCCACTAAAAGCGACGGCGTGTACTCCTTTTTCGTTACCTTGGCCGCGCTCGCGCTAACTCCGCGTGAAGTGCGCGAGCCGGAGCAGCATCACAATGGGAGCGAGTAGCAGGAGGCGCGCTAAAGCCCGGCATGGACTCTTGCTCTCTCTGCACGGATCAGGAGCGCGTCGTGGAAGGTAGGATCGGGTTCAGAGGCTAGTGACGGGTTCGGTTCGATTCAGTTTACCGAACCGATTCCTTCGAGCTGTCTGTTTAAAAACACTGAAAGCCATATTCGACGATTGATCGATTCACAAGACAACTCAGCTTTATTCTGAGGTCTAGGAGGAGTTTAGTAAAGGAGCCCGTTGGAAAACTAATATTTGGGCAAGGATCGCAGAGCTGTGTTAGTTCCAACGGCCCCTGTCCATTTGATGGGAAAAAAAGGGATTCTCTATTGCCATCGCAGCATTATTCTAAAACATAGAAACACACAATACAGTAGTCTTAGTATAGAATAATAGCTAAACTATAGTAAATTTACATAGCAGAGAAAAATATCTGACAACAGACATCACACCAGTCATAGATTCAGTGACACGGGTTGGCAACAATGTCTCAAATGTCAATTATTTTGATTTATATAGATCAATCTTATTACAATCATATATCATACAATCAAAAAGACCAGTGTTGGTTAGCTCTGTGAAAACATTGCTCATAGTATACAATATCACAGATATATGTGCTTAAAGGATGTTATGTGTTCATGTCATTCACAGTTTAAACCCTTAAATAGTCAGGGCCTGGCAGCATGGCAAAAATTTCATTGCATACACTCTTAAAAGAGGTGGTTCTTCAAGGGTTCTTTAGTAAAGACAATGGGTCTATATAGAACCATGAACACTCAAAGAACCATTTGCATGCTTGAATGGTTCTTTGCATGGAGAAATGGTTCTTCAGATTGATGGAGAATGTTTTATGTATGGCTCTATGTAAAATCTTTTTGAAAATGGTTCTATATAGCACCAAAAAGGGTTCTTCTATTGCTACAAGTGTGACATCATAACAGTAACAGAACTATTTTTGGTGCTGTATAGAACCACTTTCAAAAAGGTTTCATATAGAACCATATACAACACATTTTCCATCAATCTGAAGAACGATTTCACCATACAAAGAACCATTTAAGCATGCAAATGGTTCTTTGACTGTTGATGGTTCTATATATAACCACTATCTTTCCTAAAAAACCCTTTTTGAGAATGTACTTCTATAATCTTTCAAACCAGCTTCTAATCATCAGCCACTAGCAGACGACAAATTACAAAAATAGTTCTGAACTTTGAAAGAGTCCTCATTACTATGACTGTCACGGAATGCTTAGAGTATAAAGGACTGATTTTAAGATGGCTGTGCTATCCTTCCCACCTAGTAACCTGAACATTCCTGTGCAACGTGAAGTCTGACTGGTGAACATTTAACTACCCGAAAGAGTCACCATAGAACTGAAAGCAGTAACATAAGCTCAGCAGAGAATGTGGTTTGAAAGAGCATTACATAGAGGTGCACATATGCCAAACTGGTCTGACAAGCACTAGCCTAGTATGTTATAAACTATTGTATCGTATTGTATTATTTGTGGACATTACATAACATATATATATATATATATATATACGTTATATATATTATGTTACAACAAATCCTTCTCAATTTTTTCTTTTTTCATGAATTTGAAATTACTTGCCGTCATTTACTGGTCTATTAATGGCTCAGATATACTTGGAATAAAATCTCCTTACATTATTGTACATTAAAATTTAAGAATGTTTCTTCCTTCTCCTGTAAAATTACCATTTTGGAAAAGTTTTTTTCAGGCACTGACAATATTGAACATGGTATAATAGCTTTTGGTAAAAACTAGGGACGTTTTGGTCCAGGTTTGCCGAAAGCAGGCAACAGGTTCTTCTGACCACCAATCAACACAGTTAGTTCTCTCTACCAGGATATGATTGGATAATAATACACCAGGGCTAGAATCTGGCCAGACGGCAGTCTTGGATTTCACCCAAGGTGGAATAAAAACATGACTCCTGCTACAAGCTCCTGATGGTTCCTCCCACAATGATTCTGGATTGAATTTTTCTCCAGATTATTTGAGGAGAAGCAGTGAGTTATACTCTATTTAGAGAAGTGGTGTTTCACTCAAGAGCTGACGTGAGGGGATCAATAGGCTTAGAAGTCTGAGATAAAAACGTCTCAACTGCTTCCCAACATGACAGTACATGCAATAATTTAGGGAAATGGAATGGCTGAGGTAGAAGTTGTACAAAATCAGCAGATTTCTGGGAATTATAGGTTATTCCATGTATAGTATATGTGTGCCCATGGGTTCTTAAATCACTGACTTGTAGTGGAAAACCAGAGGGTGTTTTGGCCATAAGCTCCAAAGATCTAGACTGTGTTCTGCGGTCTGCTGTGTAAGGTGGAAAACATATGCATTTTTTTCTGAACCAGAAACACTACTTATGTGCAGTGTGGACTTGGTAATAAGCCAATTCTCAGGCCAGACATGGCACTTTAGGTGCAACTATGATGGATTGAAGAAGCATAAATAAGGCAATGAAGTGAAGTAAAAGTTAAGAAGCGTATAGATGGTCTACATCTACAACCACAGTGGAGGGAGCAGGGCTTTACAGTCACTCTGTGATTGTTGGAGATAGATTGGTGATGTTGAATGATGCATGAGTGACCTCAATAGTGACAATACACCATGGCATAACCATGCAGTGCCCTTATGTGGTTAGGAAGCACATATGGGGGCTAAACCCAAACCATTCTGTCTTTCTCTGCTGCAGTGTGGGTGGTAGTTCCTCTCAGTTGTGAACTTGACCTACATCCGGATGCTAACCTGCCATCTAGAAATGGCTAATACTGATGAGCCCTCCACATAGTCATGTAAATGTGTTGGAGATATTTCAGCAGTTTGAGCTTGCCTGAGCACAAATCTGGAGATTTTTTCCCCAAATTGATGAATCCATATGGCTAAAAAGTGAGCTTTTATTGCTAAAAGGGGAATTCCAGTGAAGTTTTCAACATGTCTGCATAATTAAATGCTTAAGAAAGACATTCAGAGTGGTTTGATGTGAAATGTGTCATGCTACAGAATTTTCCACATTGGTGGTGATAGGAACCTGACGTCCAAAGTGTTTAATGCCTGTAAAAGTGGTGTTGGTAATAGAAGGCAGAATAAGGCAAAATAAGTTCCCACTGTTTTATGATTTTATCAGCATTACATATAAAAAGTAGAACACATGTAGGGTCATTTTGTATAAGAAACAAAATGCTATATTTGTGTCATCGTCATGACTCTTGGTTCGTGCCACCACCACTGTAAAGAAATCTGAGTCAGTAAGTTTCTCTACAATGAACCATTTTGCATCAAACTGCTCTGAATGACTTTGTGGACATGTCAGTGGTTGAATTATGCTGAAATTTTGATAAATTGGTGGAATTCCCCTTTAATTTATCATATTAAATTTAGTTTTTTGGCTGATACAGATAAGGTTTATACACTCATTATAGATTATACACCCATAATCCACTAGTCAAATCAAGACTCGTCATCATGGGGACTTCAGGGTTTACTTCTGAATACCAGTTCTAATACTAATAGTCTGTCATTAGGTTTAAGCTACCTGCCTGTAATGGCTCACTTATTTCTCTGTTTTTGTTTGCCTGTCATAATGAATATGATTAGCTGAATGTGCTGCACATGTAACCTATGCTGATTAGCCAGATACACGGTCACTGACTGCGAAACTGCTTTATTACCAAAAATGAAAGATTGAAAAACATGGGAAAGGTATTATCCCAAACCCTAGAGGAGGCTTTCTGTTCCACAGCAGACACATTGTTATTTTTCCAGAAATCAGCGTAATTTGGGGTCTCATTTTGTCCTTTCTCATTGTTCTCTCACAGAACATTGTGCCTCAATGTCCTTTTTCTTTCTGAACAATGTGCTGATGGTGAAACATACAGACTTCTACAAGGTGCATTTCTGGGGCTGCATCAATGCTTCCTCCAGTCGCTGGCTGGGTGGAAGATGAAGGGAGAGGAGGAGAAGGAGAGGAAGAGGCGGAGGGGCGAGGGGGGGGAGATGTGAGGAGCTCCTGCAGCACACACTGCTTGATCCACAGCCAGAGGAGATGAAAGAAGCACGGGCTGTGTCTGCCGTTTCTCCTCCTGCTGCTGCCCAAGCCAGCAGAGTCCAGGAGCTGGATGAGCTCGAGCTGCTGCTGCTGCAGCACTCATCTATATCAACATTTCATGGTCAAATACAGTAATTCAGTTTGCTAGCAAATGTAAATGATTTTAAGTCATTGGAGCTGCATTTGCACTATTCAGCGATGGAATATAGATCATAATTAGATCAGAAAAATAATAAAGATTGCAAGTAATACAAAATGTCTAATCAGATTTCAGTCAATTAATAAACAGGATTGTTTTGATAGTTATATGGGTGACACACTCACCAGGCTGCTTTATTACATCATTCAAATACTGGTCAGGACACCCCTTTGCTTTCAGAACAGCCTGAATTCTTCATGTTACGGATTCACCAAGGTGCTGGAAACATTACCATCCATGTTGACATGATTGCATCATGCAGATTTGCCAGCTGCACTTTTATGTAGCAAATCTGCCATTCTTTCACGTTCTCTCACATCCCAAAGGTGCTCTATGGGATTTAGATCTGATTGTCTTGTTCATGGAACCAGTTTGAGATGACTTGTGCTGTGTGACAAGGTGCATCATCATAGTGGAAGTAGCCAATAGAATATGGATAATTTGTTACCACAAAGAGACACATGTTCACCAACAATACTTAAATTGGGGCATTCCAACGATGCCCAATTGGTATTAGGTGGCCCAATGTGTGCCAAGAAAACATTGCCCACCTCTTTACACCAGCACCAGCTGTTGACACAAGGCAGTTTGGGTCCATGGATATATGCTGTTCATGCCAAATTCTGACCCTACCATCTGCATTTTGCAGCAGAAATCAAGATTCATCAGACCAGGCAACATGTTTCCAATCTTCAGCTGTCCAGTTTGGGTGGGCCTATGCCCACTGTAGCCTCAGATTCCTGTTCTTGGCTGACAGGAGCGGAACCCAAAATGGTCTTATGCTGTTGTAGCCCATCCACCTTGATGTTTTGTTTGTTCAG